AGCGGACCGAACGACAGTCTTGGGCGCGGTTTTGGTCGATTTGGCCTTCTTGGCTGGCGGCGGTGGAGGCGGCGGCATGGTGCCGGGCGCCGGGGGCAGCACTTGCTCCAGCTTTACATTTAGGCGGCTAATCTCAGCGATAAGCTGAGATATCTGAGCCTCTTGGCGCTCGCACCGCCGTTCTAGACGCTCAATGATCGCATTCTGATCAACGTGAGCGGGGGCGGCGGCTGGGGCGGTTGTGCGAATCCGCACAAACGCACCGGCTTCGCTTTCTGCTGTCGGCTTGTCGGTGGGCATCTTCTTCTCCGTGGGAGTCGTCTTCGTCGTGGGTGTCGTGTCGTGGGTGTCGTGTCGTGGGTGACAAAAAACCCGACGGACTCGCTTTTTCCCCGCTTTCGACTCGGCGGCGGAACAAGATCTACCCTTGAGGTAGATCTTGACCTTCGACTGGGTCGTGGTCGCTGAAGATGCTGTCGATGTGGAGGAGTCGGAAAGGGCGGCGTCCGTGTCGCCGTCCATGCAAGCCGTCGAAGAAGCTGGCTTCGTAGCTGGTTTTGTTAATGGTATTTACTTTCTATAATCTTTCTCGGTAATCTCTTTCTATAATCTTCGTAAACTCTCAGACGTTCGACTTGGTGATAGCGCTCGAGCTCAGAGAGTCGACTGTTCGGTCCGGAGTCTGGAGCCCGAATGCTATGGCTTTATCCAACTGTTTATTTAAAGACACGAGCAGGATTGACAACTCCATCTAACGGTTGACACTGTAGATAGCTCAAGCAAGCATATTGATAGTAGAGGTGGATTTTAATATTATCTCTATAAAACTTTGTTTTCAAAGCAAGATTATTGTGTTAGGTATATGTACCTAATAAATAGTTACGTACCTTCTTTCGTTTTGTCTTCGGCACTAAGTTCATTCCAACTAGGAACAACCGCTTCACAAACCTCTTCCCACAACTTTTTTTTTACGTTTACATCAGAATACTCTTTTAATTGTTTTTTATAAAGTGCTGGTCTTTTTTCAATTTCTTTAATTCTACAACCAGCGATGCAGTAGAATTGGGCAGCGTCATAATGAAAAAAAAAAGCACAACCATCCAGCGCCAAAACTCGGAGCGAACTGAACCATTGATCGAGTCGGCCAATTAAACAATCGATCGGTGTGCGCGCTTGCGAAGAACTCCATACTGATAGTAGTCGGCCGATAGTTTAGTTTGAACGCAGTTGGGTAGCCTATCAAACTTATTTATCGGCCGATACAAAATCGTTGTGGTATGCGGACTTGCATACATCTTCATCCTGATTATCGACCAAACTATCGGCCGATAAAGTCTAAATTATTTCGGCAGTGACTTTATAGTCATTTCTTCGATATCTATCGCATTTACGTAGTCTTAAAGCATTTATTTCATATTATAGCGGTTTTTGTGATATGGGTTTTGAGATACCTGCCCATGGCAGAACCATACATTTTGTTTCCTGATTTCATTTATCACGGTTGTGGTATCTCTCATCTCATCAATCATCTGATGAATTGATAAATCTGCAAACAATGCTATTTTCGTACTGGGTGTTTGGGTATATCACTCATGAACAAAGATAAGTCCTAGGTCCCAAGATTAGAGCCTTGCGGGATCCTGCCTCTATTTTCATAAGGTTTTGAGATGCCGCATCCAATTTTACTTTTAGTGATCTGTTGTTAGGTAGCTGTGCTTGAAGTAACTTGATTAGCTGAGGATGGATATTCATGTGAATAAAGCTTGTATATGAGCCCAGGCACTGAACTGGCATGTCAAACGCTTTTTCAATGTCAAGCAGAGCCATGGGTTATTTTCCTTCGTTCCAAGATTCTTTTATGTTGTTAATAGCCCTACCACTTGTTGGATAGTGGAATATTTTCTCTGGATCCAATTGCTCATTCATTAAAATTTGTTTGTTTCAATTTTATGCGTTTAATTTTGTAGAATAAGCTTTTTCAGCTACTTTGCCTAGGGTGTTTAGAAACTATCAGCCTATAAGCTTCACTTGGATCCATGTGTTGACTTGTTTGGCTTAAGATTGGAAGGATTACGCGGCGCTTTTCAAACCGTGCGAAAGTAAGTTTAGTCTAATGCAAAATTAATGATTTCGAGGGATAAATACTATACTTTTGAGCAGATTTTTGTATAATATTTTGTATTTAGTCAATTACCGGGCTTTTTAGTTGGTAGGAATTATTAATTACTTGGCTTTATTTCTTTTAGTTTTAATGAATAGTTTGTTGGTATGAGTTTTCCGGTAAAGTAGTTCGTGAAACTGAACCGTAACGTAACGTTTTAGGATATTTGAGGCTTTCTTTGCATTATTAAATTCGTAACTTTACTTACGTTTGGCGGTTTTTATCGAATTTCTAAATTATTTTGTGCGTTGGGTTTCAAATTTTGTATGCGAAATAGTATTATGGTTTGTATTACTTTTCTTTGTGACCGTATTAATTTTTATATTTGAAATATTTATTTATTTGTAATTTTCACGTGAATATTGGGTTTGATAATTTCAGTTTTGGTTTGGATTTTGGAATATTGGATTTAAATCCATTTCACGAAAATTATAAATAAATAAATATTTCAATTATGATTGGAATTTATGATTTGTTGTAGTTTACTTTCCCAATACTTTGTTTTTGTTATATTTAATATTTGCTTTTTATTTGTTGATTTAATGTTTACCGTTTTAGTAGTAGAGCCTGGTCCTGTTTTTTTTTCCTTGTCCCTTGGGGACGCGTTTCGGTGATTAATTTTATTAGTATCCTTGGCAGGGGGCTGACATTTTGCTTTGCTTAATTTTATTGATGGATTTCTGCATGGCTTCTTTTTGTAGATTTCACTGAGTATCTCTATTTGCGGTCTATATTCTCAATTGTGCACATTTTGCTCGGAATTTTAATGTTGCCTAGTAAGGGTTTGCCCTGAATAATCCCTTAGCATTTTGTAGTCTAGACGGGTTCCATTTGGTTCTTGTAGATTTATGTGATGTTATGCAATTTAAAACGGACTGGAAAAGTAGTCGGGCAGAGTTCACGCAGAGCTATTGCTTCTCCGGATACATTTTGCAATAGCAATATCGACTGTAGATGGGTTATTGCCGTTGTTGGGTAGTTGGTGGGATCATTCAGGTAAATTATTATAACATTTTGTTTCTTCTTCTTCTTCTTCTTCTTCTTCTTCGTAGCGCTTCTCTTATATAGGCAATAGCTGTTTTCTTCATTGTATTACATCGACTGCATCTTTTCTAGATTACTTCAGCGACCTGCGCCCTTGTGGCGATTTGTCGCGTGCTACTCTGACTATTCTTGTGGTCTCCATCCTACTGATGTGATTGTTCCATTCTGACCTTCTGTGTTGTATCCACTCATTGATTTCCTTTACTTCGCACCTCTCTCTAATCTGCTTACTTGGTATTCTGTCCCTGAGAGTTGTACCTTCTATTGTTCTTAGCGTGCGCATTTCCGATGTCTCCATCAAGCTCTTGATTTTTGAGGTGTCTGCTCGTGTTTCCGAGGTGTATGTCATTATTGGCCTTATCACTGCTTTATAACTGGCTTCCGCGAAGACTTGGGTGGATGTGCTTGTTCCGTAGTGTAGATTCATTTCAGGCATCCAGCAATTTTGTTTGCTTTTATTGTTTGTTGGAGTACTTCGTGATACTAGTCACCATAGCTAGTGGTGGGGATTCCCAAATATGTGAACTGTGACACCTGTTCTATGACTTTGCCTTCCAACTCTAGTTTGCACCTTGTTGGTTCTGGTGCAAGTACCATACATTTAGTTTTAGATGAAGATATCTTCATGTTGTTAAATGTTCTATGCCGGTTGTGTTCAAAACGTGTAGCGGGTCGTCTTCATTGTACTTTTGATAAAGTACAGCATCGTCCGCAAAGCACATGATGTTTAGCTGATGTTGGTGATGATGGGCATTAGAGTCCGACTGTTAACTTTGGCCTCAAAGTAGTTGTGGCTGTACATATCTTCAACAGTCTTTATCGTCTAATTAGGACTGATCTTTGTGTAATAGCAAGATACATCCTCTAGTCGATACCCTTTTTTTTTTTTTTGGTATCGTTTGGAAGCTCGCCAGCCTAAGGTGTGGGGCTCTCACCCACTAAAACCCCTTTCGACTTGGCCGGAAGGTACGCCTTGCCTCGGGATTGCCTTCCGGCATTTTCTTCCAGGCAGGCCGCCCGGATGCCTGGGCGTGCACCCCTGGTTGTTGGGTCTATCTCTTAGCTTCTCTCGTGATCCTTTCCACTTCTCCCGTTCCGCTTCTTCCTTTGTGTTTAGGATGACGTGTATTAGATCTTCTATTACGTTTAGTTTTTCTTCGCTCCTGCAGCATTTCTTCAGGATGTTTAGTATCGTAAGTTTCCCGCATATCTTTTCCGTGTCCTCCTGGCCTTGCGCCATCTTTTGCATTCAAGATTGGTGGTGCATCGTCAATTTCCCCGCAGTCTGCACACTTGTCATCCTCTGCAGCCTTCAGGGCCACTTCAGGCTCTAAAGAACATCCGTGCCCGCTCAATACCATGTCAGATTGGAGTTAATGTTTCCATGCCTGCGGTTTTACCCATTCGCTTATGTTTTGGTATTGGCTTCTTCGTGATTTCCAGCTTTCCCCGTTGTTTTGTCCCACCACTGCCAAGCCTGCATCTGCTCTTCCTTGTTCCACTTGTTTAGTTCTTGCCTGCGCGCTGGAAGTATGGTGAGGTATTGTACCCGCAATCACTGCCGCTACGTCTGTACTGATGTGTGCGATAGGCACAGCACACCTTTGCCGACATCGCTCGCTGGATCCGCGTTAGCATACTTTGTATTTGGTTTGTCTAGGATCCTGCTCCAAATTTTTATACATCACGATGGAGGCACAGACGCTGTAATACGGTTTCTTTTCGCAGATTGGTCCACGAGCGGTGGGCATTGTTATCGAGATAGCAGCTGGGTCGTACGGTTCCTTGTGCATGCTTCAGTGAGGTGTTTCTTAAAGAGACATGTTTCTCCCGAAGTAGACCTAGGTATTTTATGGCTTCTGATGTTTGTATGGTTACGCCATCGATGTTTTAATTTCAGGTGCTGCACTTTCCTTCTTCCAGTCGAGTACTTCTCAAGCTACTGTTTTCCTGGGCCAACTCAGTTGTTTTTTTTGCAGGGTTCTTTTTACAGATCGCATCGTGTCCTCCGGTTTTCTTTTAAAAGGCCATCTCCCAGTCTTATCACACTGCAACGATGGCCTAGATCATCTGCGTATGCTATGAGGGACACCTCGAAAGGTTCTACAGGTATGCGCAGCACACGTCATCGTAATGAAACATTCCATAGATATGGGCCCAGGATTGATCCTTGTGTGGGACCGCCGCGTTACCGGGGAAGTATGGAATTTCCGCCACTATCTTTTCTTTTGCTGGAAGTAGCTTTTGTATAATGTTTGTGTAGCGTGGTTTAACCTTCCTGTCTCTTAGCACCTTTATAATCCATCCCAAGGTGCACTGTTAAATGCGTTTCTTATATCTAAAAGGTGACTAGTGCGCAGACTTTCCTCTTGTTGTATGGCCCCGTGTTTGCTCTATCTGCCATTTGGCATACTTTTTTGCATGTAGCGAAGCACTGTGGTTTTGCCTTCTCTGAAGCCAAATTGTTGAGGAGACAGGTCCCCGTCACTCTCTATGTCCTTCATCAGCCAAATTAGTAGTACATGTTCCAGTAGCTTTTCCTATCACGTTGAGAATGCAAAATCGGTCTGTAGGTGTCTTTTTTGGGTTTTGGTATGGAGCACTAGCCGAGCGATTTTCAGATGTCCATTCCTTTGGTGCCTGGTTGAGGCCTCTACCACAATGTTGGGGCAACTTTCTACTAGGC